GTGGTGTATGTTCTGGCGCATGCTGCTGCTGTGTGTGTTGCTGCCTTTGTGCTTGTTCCTCGTTCTGTAACGGCAGGGCGGGTTGACGTTGCTGCTGCGTTACTTGGTGATGGTACTGGGGCTGTAGGTGCTGCTGATGGCCCACGTACTGTTGTTGCCGTGGTGTATGTTCTGGCGCATGCTGCTGCTGTGTGTGTTGCTGTGTGTGTTGCTGTTGTTGTTGCAAGTCTTTATTAGAGATAGGTTGAGGTTTATTAGAGATAGGTTGAGGTTGATAGTGGTTATGACGATGGTGGTGATCTGGATAGTGTTGAGGTTGATGTTGTTGCTGGCGGTGATGGTGGTGATCTGGATAGTGTTGAGGTTGATAATGGTTATGACGATGGTGGTGATCTGGATAGTGTTGAGGTTGATGTTGTTGCAGGCGGTGATGGTGGTGATCCGGATAGTGTTGAGGTTGAGGTTGTTGCTGGCGGTGATGGTGGTGATCTGGATAGTGTTGAGGTTGATAATGGTTATGACGATGGTGGCGATCTGGATAGTGTTGAGGTTGATGTTGTTGCTGGCGGTGATGGTGGCGATCTGGACAGTGTTGAGGTTGATGTTGTTGCTGCTGTATTATGTGTGGAGGTTGATGTTGTTGCTGTTGTATTACGTGTGGTTGGCGTTCTTCTTGTAAATTTACGATAGGTTGTTGCTGCTGATAAAAGTGATTATTATATTCTGGGCGTTGTTGTGGTTGATGTTGTTGTTGTGTCGCATGTTGCGGATTTTGTTGAATCTGATTATGGTGATGGGGCGCTAGTTGCTGTTGTGTTGGTTCTTGTTGAGGTGACTGGTGAGGTGCTTCTTGCTCTTGCTGCTGCTGCTGCTGTTGTTGAGACGATGGCTGTTGTTGGTATTGTTGTTGAGGCGGCGGTGGCGGTTGTTGTTGAGGCGGCGGTGGCGGTGGCGGTTGTTGTTGAGGCGGCGGTGGCGGTGGCGGTTGTTGTTGAGGCGGCGGTGGCGGTGGCGGTTGTTGTTGAGGCGGCGGTGGCGGTGGCGGTTGTTGTTGAGGCGGCGGTGGCGGTGGCGGTTGTTGTTGAGGCGGCGGTGGCGGTTGTTGTTGAGGTGGTGTTTGAGCTGATTTTTTTCGCCGATTGTGTTCTTGCAGAGCCTTGAACAATTTGTCTATTACATATTTCCTCTGTTCATCGGTTGTCACTGAGGATTGCGGTGGTGTTGGTGGTCGTGGTGGTGGTGCTTGCGGTGGTGGTGGTGATGATGATCGCCGTCTTATTACATCCTTTGCTGGCCATGGCAGTGGCGGCGGTAGTGGTATCTGTGGTACGTGCCAATATGGGTTGAGGGGAAGATAACGCAGATGATTAGGCACAAAACGACTTTGAAGGCCACATGGAGACATCGGAATCAACACGTTCAGCTGCTGTGATTTAAAGTCTTGCTCTGACTTAACATACTGTTGATACTGTTGCCACGCTAGGAGTCGTTCTATGTCCGACTGACCAAGTTGGGAGACATCTGGCACCGCGTATGGGGAGGGGTCATATTCCTGTTTAACTTCCACTTTTGGTAAAGTTGGATACGCTAGACTTTGTGACGATCCTGGATTCACTGAGCTTTGTACTGGGTTCACTATATTTTCTTGTGATTGCACTGAACTGTCATTAGACGGTTTAAGTTGTTCTGTTGTATTTGGCTTGTCCGTTGACGATAACGACTGTGTCTTAGGCATTAGCGAGCCTCGACAGATCAGGTCAACCAATTGACCAAGAACTATTCTTTGTTCTTCCGGGCCATTTGGCGTCACTCTATCCACTATACCTGAAAGATACACAAACACACACATATATGCATATGTATATGTACGTGTGCATATATATATAAACACTTCCACGTATTCAAATAATACAAATAATACACAGAATTGAAAACTGACCATGAAACAAATTTTGTAATAACAATATAACATAACATAACACTAACAAACGAATTTTGTAATAACAATATAACATAACATAACAATAACACTCACCGAGTACAGTTTCGATAACTTTTTCGTCCATACCGAGTACAGTTTCGATAACTTTTTCGTCCATACCGAGTACAGTTTCGATAACTTTTTCGTCCATTTTCTGTCTTCAGTTCTTTTTCACGATATGCAAAGAACGACGATATATTTCTTGTAACGGACTGGAGTGAGGGAAGAAGGCGAAAAAAAAAACGTTTCGATATAAGGGGATGGGGAAAGACCGGGAGAGGGAAGTTTTGAAGACCGCGTCCCTTGGTTTCTTCCCCCTACGGTAGGTAACATTTTTCTATTCCCGCACAGATAATTAAAACTGCCTCTAAAACTGATGTGGTGTTAAAGTCGTATTCTCACAATGATTGAAACAAATATAATAATCATATTCTTAAATAAAGATTAAAATTTAAAAAGCTTATCGTTATAAAGATTCAAACAGATCTAAGAACACACTCTTAAAAAAAATTCAAATGTTTAAATAAATTAATTTATAAAATTCGTATTCCTAAAGAAGGTTTAAAATATGAGGCGCGTATTCTAAAAAGATTCACAGTCATAATCAAGAGGGGTTTATAATGTCTCTTTGTGATGCTTGAAAATGTTCTGCTGTCCACCCCTGATTTTCGTTACTTGTACATTTTTATAATCTCGCGTCATTATGCTATGAAAGGGATCGCAGTATTATACTGTGAAAGGGATCACAATCTCATTCTATGACTATGATACAATCTCGCAATACTATCTTATGAATGATATTACATTAATGTACTGTGAAGGGAATAACGATCTCATTTTATGACTATGATACGAGATATTACACAAAGAAAGAAATCACAATATCATATTAGTGAAGGGATTATAATCTCACCGTATGACTATGAAGTTCGAAGAGGTTTGATTTTCACTTCCAATATTTTGCTCACCCAATATTTAATTCTTTTGATACACGTCTTCCATATTTGATCACTGGTTATACGTACACCTCCGTGGATAAAACGACTATGACGAGTAGGTGATTTTGGCGATCTGTTCACTCCGGAGGAGGACTGCGCGTTATTTATCAAAAGAAGGGCAGAGGGCTGTATTGTGTACTGTGAGATACAGTGACCTTTAATCCTGATGAAAATGTGGGTTTCATAAATATAATAAGTATTGGAGATGGACTGATAAACAGGAAAATATTATAGGTGGAAAACGGGGGGCGCGGGGGGCGCGTGGCGGACGGTGGACGATGGTGGACGATGGTGGACGGCGGCGGGCGGCGACGACGGCGGCGACGGCGGCGGCGACCCCGCGTGGCCCATCCCATAGGTCTACCCGGCCTCTGCTTCTGCCCCCCTTGCCTCTCTCTCGATCCTCTAATCCTCTCCCTCTTCCTGTCCCTTCTCCTCTTCCTCTTTCTCCCTATTATCACTCTTAGGTCACCACGTCGCCTTAGCCCGGGGGCCCCTAGCCGAGGGGCCGCGCCGCGCGCGCGCGCGCGCGCACTCCCCCCATTTTGGCGAGAGTCTGGTTTTCGGGAAATCTCTTAGATAGGACGAATAGACTGATCGGGAAGATGTGGAACCCACTTTTATATGCCTGAGGCTGGGGCTTAGGCCGCCGACGATAAACACCCCGATGACAGCATCGATATTGATGATGACCGTGACGGTGGTGGTGTTCATTATCAATACATAGAGGCGAAAGCCAGACTAGCCCGGCATCGATGTCGACCTCTCCACTCCGACCGCAGATGGTCACACGCGAATTTATTTCGTCTAACCCCTTTTTCTCTCTACGCAATCGACTTAGTCAAAATTTCACATCGCGACAGAGGGACTCTGTTTTTATCAGCGATCATTTAATTCGTTTAACCCCTCTTCTCTCTGTGCAATCGACTTAGTCAAAATTTCACACGCGACAGAGGGACTCTGTTTTTATCAGCGATCATTTAATTCGTTTTACCCCATTTCTCTCTGAGCAATCGACTTAGTCAAAATTTCACATCGCGAATTTAATTCGTTTAACCCCTCTTCTCTCTGTGCAATCGACTTAGTCAAAATTTCACACGCGACAGAGGGACTCTGTTTTTATCAGGGATCATTTAATTCGTTTTAACCCATTTCTCTCTGAGCAATCGACTTAGTCAAAATTTCACACGCGACAGAGGGACTCTGTTTTTCAGCGAGAATGGGTTAAACCGATTAAATTAAATGATCCCTGATAAAAACAGAGTCCCTCTGTCGCGTGTGAAATTTTGACTAAGTCGATTGCACAGAGAGAAGAGGGGTTAAACGAATTAAATTCGCGATGTGAAATTTTGACTAAGTCGATTGCTCAGAGAGAAATGGGGTAAAACGAATTAAATGATCGCTGATAAAAACAGAGTCCCTCTGTCGCGTGTGAAATTTTGACTAAGTCGATTGCACAGAGAGAAGAGGGGTTAAACGAATTAAATGATCGCTGATAAAAACAGAGTCCCTCTGTCGCGATGTGAAATTTTGACTAAGTCGATTGCGTAGAGAGAAAAAGGGGTTAGACGAAATAAATTCGCGTGTGACCATCTGCGGTCGGAGTGGAGAGGTCGACATCGATGCCGGGCTAGTCTGGCTTTCGCCTCTATGTATTGATAATGAACACCACCACCGTCACGGTCATCATCAATATCGATGCTGTCATCGGGGTGTTTATCGTCGGCGGCCTAAGCCCCAGCCTCAGGCATATAAAAGTGGGTTCCACATCTTCCCGATCAGTCTATTCGTCCTATCTAAGAGATTTCCCGAAAACCAGACTCTCGCCAAAATGGGGGGAGTGCGCGCGCGCGCGCGCGCGGCGCGGCCCCTCGGCTAGGGGCCCCCCGGGCTAAGGCGACGTGGTGACCTAAGAGTGATAATAGGGAGAAGAGAGGAAGAGGAGAAGGGACAGGAAGAGGGAGAGGATTAGAGGATCGAGAGAGAGGCAAGGGGGGGGCAGAAGCAGAGGCCGGGTAGACCTATGGGATGGGCCATGCGGGGTCGCCGCCGCCGTCGCCGCCGTCGCCGCCGTCGTCGCCGCCCGCCGCCGTCCACCATCGTCCACCATCGTCCACCGTCCGCCACGCGCCCCCCGCGCCCCCGCGCCCCCGTTTTCCACCTATAATATTTTCCTGTTTATCAGTCCATCTCCAATACTTATTATATTTATGAAACCCACATTTTCATCAGGATTAAAGGTCACTGTATCTCACAGTACACAATACAGCCCTCTGCCCTTCTTTTGATAAATAACGCGCAGTCCTCCTCCGGAGTGAACAGATCGCCAAAATCACCTACTCGTCATAGTCGTTTTATCCACGGAGGTGTACGTATAACCAGTGATCAAATATGGAAGACGTGTATCAAAAGAATTAAATATTGGGTGAGCAAAATATTGGAAGTGAAAATCAAACCTCTTCGAACTTCATAGTCATACGGTGAGATTATAATCCCTTCACTAATATGATATTGTGATTTCTTTCTTTGTGTAATATCTCGTATCATAGTCATAAAATGAGATCGTTATTCCCTTCACAGTACATTAATGTAATATCATTCTGATAATTAAAAGAAGGGTACTAGTAATTCACGTAGCATAGATCTGAGTTTCTCGACAGTGTCGACTAGATCACCGTCTTTTATAAAGCTGTCAAATACCGTGTTCTTGGTAAAAAACCTAAAGATGTTATACCTTCTGCTATCATCCGACCAATAATTCACATCATCGTCTGAAACAAACACATTTTTACCCGATTGTCTATCGCAAAAGCAATTCGGATAATGATAATTTAGGTGTCTCGGGCAGGCGGAAAAGATGTCCACGTTCATTTTTTCGGCGTATTGTCTTCGCTGTTCGTGTAGGTCTATTGCCTTTGGTATTTCGGCCGTATTATTCCACCCTACTGTGATGGGGATTTTAAGATAATCGAGAAAATTATCCGACACGATCGGGGACTGAAACCGAATACTAACGCCTGAGGATTCCTCGTTATTATCGTCGTCACCGCCATCTCCTTTTTCATCCTCTTCCTCCTCCTCTTCCTCCTCATCATCATCATCATCATCATCATCATCATCATCATCATCATCATCATCATCATTATCATCATCAATCGAATTATTATTATCATTATCAGTATTATCACCAATATTATTATAATTATTACTGTAGCTGCTATCTTTATCCCAACCAGGAGCAGCAGCAGTATTCTCCTCCTCCTCATCCTCACCACATCTTATATCTAGGTCTTCCGTTGCTGTATCTATTACCAGCTCTGTTTCTGCATTTTTTTCTATATCATCCTCGTTGCTGTTAGCATGACTGTCGTTACCGTTATTTCCTAGACCGTCCCTGTCATCAATTTTTTTTTTTTTTGAGAGGGGCTGAATGGAGAAGGACTCTATGTCGAGCGTCCGCTTGATGAGAGGGTCGTTATTAACTGGAGCGTCTTGATTAATCACATTCTCCAGCAACGACCCTAGGATATCTTGGGGTTGTTGTTGTAGAGGGACTTGTTCGTTCACTTTACGATTTTCCTGTTCCTGCTGATCTCGCTGTTGCATTGCCAAAATATCCGCGTTCAGTGCATCGAGATCGAGATCTGTATAATCGTGGATGACTGTGTAGAGATCCTGTCCCTGTTGTTGCTTTCCCTGTATACTGTGTTCTTGCTCCTGTACCATTTGGTGTTGGTGCTCTTGTTGTGGTTCCTGCGACGCTGTGAACGCTAGATGCTGTTCCTGTCCCTGTTGTTGCTTTCCCTGTATACTGTGTTCTTGCTCCTGTACCATTTGGTGTTGGTGCTCTTGTTGTGGTTCCTGCGACGCTGTGAACGCTAGATGCTGTTCCTGTCCCTGTTGTTGCTTTCCCTGTATACTGTGTTCTTGCTCCTGTACCATTTGGTGTTGGTGCTCTTGTTGTGGTTCCTGCGACGCTGTGAACGCTAGATGCTGTTCCTGTCCCTGTTGTTGCTTTCCCTGTATACTGTGTTCTTGCTCCTGTACCATTTGGTGTTGGTGCTCTTGTTGTGGTTCCTGCGACGCTGTGAACGCTAGATGCTGTTGCTGTCCCCGTATACTGTGTTCTTGCTCCTGTACCATCTGGTGTTGGTGCTCTTGTTGTGGTTCCTGCAACGCTGTGAACGCTAGATGCTGTTGCTGTCTGTGTTGCTGTCCCTGTATACTGTGTTCTTGCTCCTGTTGTTGGATACATCGCTGTTGTGTGTGTTGCTGCCTTTGTGCTTGTTCCTCGTTCTGTAACGGCAGGGCGGGTTGACGTTGCTGCTGCGTTACTTGGTGATGGTACTGGGGCTGTAGGTGCTGCTGATGGCCCACGTACTGTTGTTGCCGTGGTGTATGTTCTGGCGCATGCTGCTGCTGTGTGTGTTGCTGCCTTTGTGCTTGTTCCTCGTTCTGTAACGGCAGGGCGGGTTGACGTTGCTGCTGCGTTACTTGGTGATGGTACTGGGGCTGTAGGTGCTGCTGATGGCCCACGTACTGTTGTTGCCGTGGTGTATGTTCTGGCGCATGCTGCTGCTGTGTGTGTTGCTGCCTTTGTGCTTGTTCCTCGTTCTGTAACGGCAGGGCGGGTTGACGTTGCTGCTGCGTTACTTGGTGATGGTACTGGGGCTGTAGGTGCTGCTGATGGCCCACGTACTGTTGTTGCCGTGGTGTATGTTCTGGCGCATGCTGCTGCTGTGTGTGTTGCTGCCTTTGTGCTTGTTCCTCGTTCTGTAACGGCAGGGCGGGTTGACGTTGCTGCTGCGTTACTTGGTGATGGTACTGGGGCTGTAGGTGCTGCTGATGGCCCACGTACTGTTGTTGCCGTGGTGTATGTTCTGGCGCATGCTGCTGCTGTGTGTGTTGCTGCCTTTGTGCTTGTTCCTCGTTCTGTAACGGCAGGGCGGGTTGACGTTGCTGCTGATGGCCCACGTACTGTTGTTGCCGTGGTGTATGTTCTGGCGCATGCTGCTGCTGTGTGTGTTGCTGCCTTTGTGCTTGTTCCTCGTTCTGTAACGGCAGGGCGGGTTGACGTTGCTGCTGATGGCCCACGTACTGTTGTTGCCGTGGTGTATGTTCTGGCGCATGCTGCTGCTGTGTGTGTTGCTGCCTTTGTGCTTGTTCCTCGTTCTGTAACGGCAGGGCGGGTTGACGTTGCTGCTGATGGCCCACGTACTGTTGTTGCCGTGGTGTATGTTCTGGCGCATGCTGCTGCTGTGTGTGTTGCTGCCTTTGTGCTTGTTCCTCGTTCTGTAACGGCAGGGCGGGTTGACGTTGCTGCTGCGTTACTTGGTGATGGTACTGGGGCTGTAGGTGCTGCTGATGGCCCACGTACTGTTGTTGCCGTGGTGTATGTTCTGGCGCATGCTGCTGCTGTGTGTGTTGCTGTGTGTGTTGCTGTTGTTGTTGCAAGTCTTTATTAGAGATAGGTTGAGGTTTATTAGAGATAGGTTGAGGTTGATAGTGGTTATGACGATGGTGGTGATCTGGATAGTGTTGAGGTTGATGTTGTTGCTGGCGGTGATGGTGGTGATCTGGATAGTGTTGAGGTTGATAATGGTTATGACGATGGTGGTGATCTGGATAGTGTTGAGGTTGATGTTGTTGCAGGCGGTGATGGTGGTGATCTGGATAGTGTTGAGGTTGAGGTTGTTGCTGGCGGTGATGGTGGTGATCTGGATAGTGTTGAGGTTGAGGTTGTTGCTGGCGGTGATGGTGGTGATCTGGATAGTGTTGAGGTTGATGTTGTTGCTGGCGGTGATGGTGGCGATCTGGACAGTGTTGAGGTTGATGTTGTTGCTGCTGTATTATGTGTGGAGGTTGATGTTGTTGCTGTTGTATTACGTGTGGTTGGCGTTCTTCTTGTAAATTTACGATAGGTTGTTGCTGCTGATAAAAGTGATTATTATATTCTGGGCGTTGTTGTGGTTGATGTTGTTGTTGTGTCGCATGTTGCGGATTTTGTTGAATCTGATTATGGTGATGGGGCGCTAGTTGCTGTTGTGTTGGTTCTTGTTGAGGTGACTGGTGAGGTGCTTCTTGCTCTTGCTGCTGCTGCTGCTGCTGTTGTTGAGACGATGGCTGTTGTTGGTATTGTTGTTGAGGCGGCGGTGGCGGTTGTTGTTGAGGCGGCGGTGGCGGTGGCGGTTGTTGTTGAGGCGGCGGTGGCGGTGGCGGTTGTTGTTGAGGCGGCGGTGGCGGTGGCGGTTGTTGTTGAGGCGGCGGTGGCGGTGGCGGTTGTTGTTGAGGCGGCGGTGGCGGTGGCGGTTGTTGTTGAGGTGGTGTTTGAGCTGATTTTTTTCGCCGATTGTGTTCTTGCAGAGCCTTGAACAATTTGTCTATTACATATTTCCTCTGTTCATCGGTTGTCACTGAGGATTGCGGTGGTGTTGGTGGTCGTGGTGGTGGTGCTTGCGGTGGTGGTGGTGATGATGATCGCCGTCTTATTACATCCTTTGCTGGCCATGGCAGTGGCGGCGGTAGTGGTATCTGTGGTACGTGCCAATATGGGTTGAGGGGAAGATAACGCAGATGATTAGGCACAAAACGACTTTGAAGGCCACATGGAGACATCGGAATCAACACGTTCAGCTGCTGTGATTTAAAGTCTTGCTCTGACTTAACATACTGTTGATACTGTTGCCACGCTAGGAGTCGTTCTATGTCCGACTGACCAAGTTGGGAGACATCTGGCACCGCGTATGGGGAGGGGTCATATTCCTGTTTAACTTCCACTTTTGGTAAAGTTGGATACGCTAGACTTTGTGACGATCCTGGATTCACTGAGCTTTGTACTGGGTTCACTATATTTTCTTGTGATTGCACTGAACTGTCATTAGACGGTTTAAGTTGTTCTGTTGTATTTGGCTTGTCCGTTGACGATAACGACTGTGTCTTAGGCATTAGCGAGCCTCGACAGATCAGGTCAACCAATTGACCAAGAACTATTCTTTGTTCTTCCGGGCCATTTGGCGTCACTCTATCCACTATACCTGAAAGATACACAAACACACACATATATGCATATGTATATGTACGTGTGCATATATATATATATATATATATATATATATATATATATATATATATATATATATATAAACACTTCCACGTATTCAAATAATACAAATAATACACAGAATTGAAAACTGACCATGAAACAAATTTTGTAATAACAATATAACATAACATAACACTAACAAACGAATTTTGTAATAACAATATAACATAACATAACAATAACACTCACCGAGTACAGTTTCGATAACTTTTTCGTCCATACCGAGTACAGTTTCGATAACTTTTTCGTCCATACCGAGTACAGTTTCGATAACTTTTTCGTCCATTTTCTGTCTTCAGTTCTTTTTCACGATATGCAAAGAATGACGATATATTTCTTGTAACGGACTGGAGTGAGGGAAGAAGGCGAAAAAAAAAAACGTTTCGATATAAGGGGATGGGGAAAGACCGGGAGAGGGAAGTTTTGAAGACCGCGTCCCTTGGTTTCTTCCCCCTACGGTAGGTAACATTTTTCTATTCCCGCACAGATAATTAAAACTGCCTCTAAAACTGATGTGGTGTTAAAGTCGTATTCTCACAATGATTGAAACAAATATAATAATCATATTCTTAAATAAAGATTAAAATTTAAAAAGCTAATCGTTATAAAGATTCAAACAGATCTAAGAACACACTCTTAAAAAAAATTCAAATGTTTAAATAAATTAATTTATAAAATTCGTATTCCAAAAGAAGGTTTAAAATATGAGGCGCGTATTCTAAAAAGATTCACAGTCATAATCAAGAGGGGTTTATAATGTCTCTTTGTGATGCTTGGAAATGTTCTGCTGTCCACCCCTGATTTTCGTTACTTGTACATTTTTATAATCTCGCGTCATTATGCTATGAAAGGGATCGCAGTATTATACTGTGAAAGGGATCACAATCTCATTCTATGACTATGATACAATCTCGCAATACTATCTTATGAATGATATTACATTAATGTACTGTGAAGGGAATAACGATCTCATTTTATGACTATGATACGAGATATTACACAAAGAAAGAAATCACAATATCATATTAGTGAAGGGATTATAATCTCAC